ATAACATATACTTTAATATGCAATAAATTTAAATATAGTATTATATTATGTAAAGGATTGTTAAATGAGTTTGAGGTTTGGGTGATGTGTTCAATACAAACCCTGTATTACAGAGAAAATGAGTGAAAGTATTGTATGATTGCATAAAAGGTGTACAATTGGTGTGAATATAGGATTGCGTAACAGTATATGTGATGAATGTTTTGCCATCCATTCAGTCATCACTCCATCCACTCCTGTGTCCAACCAATCGATTATTTGTTTGGATTCACAATTCATTTGATTCATCGCTTAAGTCACCACATGTTGGACACAATCACTGGCGAGTAGTGATCTGTGTTACCATAAATTGTCCCAAATGTCAAACTCGTGAGTATTGCGTGCATTGATTGGTGGATGTGTTGCTAACGGCTGAGTATTGACAGGAATGGTATTTACGGCCAAACATATGACAGATATGTTGAGCGATACGACGACTCGACGCTCTCACGCATGCAATGCCAGTATTGGACAACAAAACAGGCGTTTCTTCGGAAACTCAAACGAAAAGAAGACGATTGTATCGTCGCCTCCGACGCCGAACTCGACGCCAAACTCGAGGTATGAATCGATGGTGTGTTGAGTGATATTGTAATCTCATTGGCACTGATTTGACGCGACAGTTGTTGCGGTCGATTGACGAGTCGTGTCAGAACCTGATCCTAGTGTTGGAGGCATATCAGGACCGCATCTGCGGTTTGGCTCACGAAGAGTCGGCCGCCGGACGCTTCCTCAAGGAGTGCTCCAAACTGGACAAGACTCGGGCCGGGAAAATGATGGCCGCGTCCGGTAAGACCATGTGCTATACAGCCCAACAACGGATCCAATTGCGGAACCCATTGGTGCGACTCTACCAAGAAGTGGAGACATTTCAATACCGAGCGGTGGCCGACACTATGCTAACCGTCGATAAGATGGAGTCCTCGCGAACCGCATATCGCGCGGCACTCCTGTGGATGAAAGACGTGTCCGAGAAGTTAGATCCGGACACTTATAAACAGTTGGATAAGTTTCGTAAAGTGCAGAGTCATGTCCGCAAAACAAAGGTCCGCTTCGATCGCCTCAAAGTGGATACTCTCCAGAAGATTGATCTGTTGTCGGCCTCGCGTTGTAATATGTATTCCAACGCTTTGGTCGGTTATCAGAACTCTTCGGTTCAGTTCTGGGAAAAGTCGTCCAAAACGATGGCCGCCGTCGCCGACACTTTCAAGGGATACCAATATTACGAATTCACGACACTTAAGGAGTTGACCGAAACGAGCAGAAAGTTGGCCGAAGACACCGCTAATAACGATGACATTCGGAAGATCTTTGACGACAACGATGACGACGAAGACAAGGATCGGCTTATAAAGAAACTCCGGCTAATATCCCTGCTGCTGAGGTGGTTATTTCGGTTATTTCTATTGTTCTTTAAATTTGGTAAACCGTCTTTCTGAAGCTGAGTTTTGTTTGGTTTTCGACAAGGGGTTTTCTCGTTTGATTCCAAAGCAAACAATTCATTACTTGATCTCAACTTTGATTCCAAAGGAGACAATAGTTTGAAAAATAGTTTAAAGACATCGGAAGCGCAACAAAACACTGATATTTTGACTCTAAGTGACACAAAAATGGATGACTTGAGTCTCTTGAATGAGATATTGAACGCACCGAACGCTCCCATTATTGAGACCAACGCCAGTACGGGTGCTATCGGTGGGGCACCCAATACAGGGGCCACTGGTGTCGATGCGTTTATGCCGAGCCAACTCATTGACTTGAATTCATTCAATTACTCAATGAATCAAATGAACGCATCGCTGAATCCAATGACCAGAAGAGAGAATTTGGTCGAAAAGAACAAAAACGTCAATTTGAATGCAAATAAGGATAAAGTTAGTGATCATTGAATCAATTTTAATCATTTTATATAATTATATAATTACGCAAATGTTTATTATTATAGGCAACCAAAAAGGCTGAAGAACTGTCCTCGTGGTTCAACCTCTTTGCAGACTTGGATCCGCTCGCGAATCCCGACGCCATCGGGAAAAAGGCGGACCAAATAGAAGAGAGAAATTGCTAATCAAATTCGGAGCTCTTTATTAATATATAATTATTAATAATTTATTATTTAAACTATTGTTTATTCCAATTATTTAACGTAATATTGAAGTCTATTATTATCTCAAATCTAGTCATAAAACTAATCAATGACTTCTTTAATTTAACTCAAATTCCAAATCAGTATTACTTTTCAATTGTGTTATTTTTAAAGCGCTTATATTTAAGCAAATTTTACTCTTTGTTATTAAATATATTTATAAATTGTATTCAAATGTGAATTAAAATGACTTGCATTTAGTTGAAACACCCAATGCTTTATTTCAGAGCACATGTGAGACAACACATCACAAAATGTCCAATTTTTCTGTGCAAACAAATCACTAATAATTACCCATTTTTTAGGAACACTTTAAATGTTTTTTATTAAATCATTACAAAGTATTTAAGGTTTAAATTCATTACAACATTAGGCGATGCATACAAATCACATGCCATCGAAACACGAGTTATACTAAACAAAGTGTTTGTCATTAAAAGATGAGATTTATGAATGCGGTCTAACGTTGCCATCAGTGGTCGCTTTGCCAATTGATCCGCTGATGTCTTCGGGTGCCGTCTATTTGGACCTCTCCCTCATCTTCCTTCTCTTCCGCTTCAATCTCCTCATACGCTTCTTCCGCCACTAAAACACCATTCAATGCAAATCAGATATTAATTCATTAGTCAAACCATTGACAACCAATTCATTATGGTTTTAGTCAACACACCTTTGCTCTCATATCGGATCCGAAAACTAGACTTAGATTTCGGTCAAAAAGTTGGTCTCAATTTGTTGACTGACTTCAGACAAAATGAATGTTTGAATGAATGCTTGAATAGTGAGAGGAAAAGGAAGTCTCAAACGCTTTGTATTACTCGTCACTCCTTTACTGCATATAACGGACACTCAATTACGGCCTTATATTCACACAAACATTGCCTTCAATTGTATGGAAAAGCTATTAATGTTTGAACACATCATTCATGACTGCAATCGTAATCTCGAGAACCAATAGTTGTCAACAAAATTGTGTTTTGATTTGGATTTTGCGGCAAATGTTCACTCATTTTGTGTTTACACTGAAAATCGTTTCATTTGTTTGTGTTTTACAACGAGTTTTGAAATCAAACCAAACGTAATGTCGAAACCGACGGGTCTTTCGAGAGTACGACGAAAGGGAAAAGCAGTCAAAGAGTTGGCAATTGTGCCGAAAGTGGTGCCAAAGAATGGATCAAATAGTCGACAATTATCTCACGTTTTTTCGGATTTTGATTTGTCCGACATTTCTGTTAATTTGAATGCAAATGAAAACAACGTTTCCTTTAAATCAACAAAAATAGTGATCAATGAAGACATCAATGAAGAGTCGGTTGAAGACAATAGCAGTGAATCGACGAAATGGCCATCACTTGAATGTGTGGACAAATCCATCAATGGTTTCAATCCATGTCTTGACGACACGAACGCCTCGACATCTGTCACATCGTTTGCGAAGTCATCGATGGTTTCAAACAATAGTCGTATAAATGAAAGCAATAGTAATAGCAATAAGAGGAAGAACTTGTCGGTAGTCTTCGATGACATCGATTTGAGTGATTTGAACATCAATTTCAATCAAACCAACGCCTCCTTCAAGAGCTCTCGAAAAGTGTTTAAAACTGACATTAATTTTGTGGACAAAACAGACATCGATTCAAATGAAGACAATAATAATAAGATGTGTTCCGTGTTTAATGACATCGATTTGAGTGATTTGAACCAAACATCACATCTTTCGGCCATTTCTTTTCAAAGCTCCAGAAAAGTGATCAAAACTGATGAGTCGATTGATAAGGAGTGCAATGAAAACAATGGACACCAAATAGACATTGATTTGAGTGAGTGTTTTGCGGAACCGTTTGGAGAAACACAAGAAGTGTTTAGAAAATGTTCGCAAAACTCTGCCTCAAAATCAGATGAAAACGAATTAAATTGTTTATTCAGTTCAAGTGATGATCAGTTCTTTGATGATATCGACCAAACGGAACAACCATTGAATTCAACGACAATTCCAATACAAGAACCACAACTGGAAGAAGGGTTTAACGACGACTTGAAAGACTTAACACAAGACATGGATTTTCTATTAAAAAATGATTTTTTTGACGATATGAACGAAGAATTGGTAGAAGAGATAGAAAGTAAAGTGGAATCGGTTCCCAAAAGTGATGTTCAAAACTGTGATAATGAGCACAAATGTGAAATGAATCGATCATATAATGGCTTTCAAACAGTGAGTGGAAAGACCATTGAATTCAATGAAAACGATCGCTCGAAAGCGGAACTATTGTTCAAAGACATCGAAGAATGGCTCACCAAAGAGATTATTGGGAACAAGAATTTAAAGAATTTGGACTCAAGTGATGAGACCTATAGTCAAGTATTTATATTAAAGTCTGTGGAAAGCGGTCGCCAAAAGGTGTTTGAATTGAAGAGCGAAACTCCAACCAAACCCTCAAAATGTGTTCAAATAAATGACAGTAAGACTAATGAATCAATTGGTGAGCCATTTGAAGATCAATTACAGTCTGAATGGCAATCAATGAAGACATCGTATAAGTTCGAGCCCTTCACCGCTCGTCCCACGGATTTACCACTCATTACAGCGAAACCAATGTTAAATCCCATGACTTCAACNAATAAATGACAGTAAGACTAATGAATCAATTGGTGAGCCATTTGAAGATCAATTACAGTCTGAATGGCAATCAATGAAGACATCGTATAAGTTCGAGCCCTTCACCGCTCGTCCCACGGATTTACCACTCATTACAGCGAAACCAATGTTAAATCCCATGACTTCAACACCAAAGACATCATCAGTTAAACGTAAGATTAATTTTGAGCCAAAAAATGTCATTAATTTTGCACAAAAATTCAATGATTTATAGTTGTATTAAAAGAAGCAAATTTTTATTCATGTCATTTAATCCCTTAATTCCTCATTCAATGTATTATAAAAAAGTATTTTAATGTCTCTTTTATGACTACTATTCGTGTATCCAATAAATCATATGCTATTAAAACACAAACTTTTTAATTCCTGAATAAGAGTGGAAATAAAGTTTCAATCAATAAATGCTCTCATTTTTAGTTCAAAATAAAACATTTATTATTATTTCTCTTATATTTAGTCTTTTTAATAGTTTAGTATTGATTGAAACCAAACATAAGTTGAATGAATGGTTTTGGCAATTGATTGGTTTGAGTGTACCCTTTATTTCTTTACTACCTTTTACTACATTCATGTGTTTAGCATTACATGTACTCTAATGGCTATTAAATGCCAATTTAGTGGCAAATTCTTGTCTATAATAATGAATGACTCACTTATGGAAAGTATTTAATGAATGTGTTTTAGTGGCCAAACATAAGGAAAAACAAGTGCTTATGATTTGTAAACTCATTATATAATTAATGCAAATACAGGTATTTGTTGTGTTTGAATAGTAATTGAGTTTTGGGCAAAATGTGAACACTTTTTCATACTTTTCCACACTTTCATTGAAGTGAGCGTTGGTTTGGCCGCAAAAGTCGCACAATTGGTATGATTTGTATGAATTAGTGTCGGTAAATTGGACAATTTTCATTCACGCTCACTCACGTTCACGACAAAAATTTTCACGCTCACTCACACTCACGGGGAAAAATTCAATCGTGAATCACACTCACTCACGGTGTCTG